ACTGAGAAAGGAAAGGTCAATGGCTGGAGGTCCTACAGCCCACTGAGGGCACTGTGGCAGCTCTGCCAACACATTACACACCCTCCCTACACTGACTGGGTGTGCATGCGTATGTGTGCATGGGCATGTTGTGCCTGTGTGCACAAAGCACACACAGCTGCATGCACACATGTGCCCACACAGCTGCATGCACACATGTGCTCACATCCACGTGCTCATGCCCACACACAACATGCACATGTGCCCCACACACAGGTGCTCATGTCCACACACAGCTGAATGCACACACGTTCATGTTCATGCCCATACAGCTGCATGCACACATGTGCTCACATCCACGTGCCCATGCCCACACAGCTGCATGCACACATGTTCACTCTCATGCCAACATAGATGTGTGTACATGTCCATGCTCACACAGCCGTATGCACACACATGCTCGTGCACACGTGAACACATATACTACACACACACACAATCATGCACACATGCTTGAGGAAAGCCCTCTCACGGAGGAGGAATTCCCAGTTCTGGTGAACAGTTTGTGACATTCTCCTTGTGGAAAGAAGCTTCTCAGACTTTGGAGGTCCCACAGGACACATGCCTTGATGTGTCCACAGCTCCTCATGAAGGCCAGCTGGGTGGTGCTCCCTTCTGCAGAGCAGAGCTGTTCCCTTTGGTGATAATGTCCACCCCTCCCAATCCAGCTGGGCAGACTCCAGACACCAAGAGCTGCAGTTCTCAGAGCCTTCTGCCCACCAACCCCTATGTGGGGAGGGCGAGCCATCCCAAGCAGAGCTCATGCCAAGATAGGCTTCGTCCTCTTCTGGACAGGACTGGGGCTGCTGTGGCCACGGCTCCCCTCTGGGGCCCCCAGGGCCTCCAGACCTGCTGCTGACTCGGACTCGGGGGTTTCTTCTACAAGGCAGGCTTCTTGCATATCTTTCCCACCCCTCAATTTTGGAAAACCCTTTTCTGGTAGGATAAGGAGGTCCACCCAATCCCAGCGGACAGGTACAGGTAGAAGTCCACCTTACATCTCACATCTGCAATGGGCTGAATTGTGCCCCAAATGCACGTTAACTTCCCAACCCCAGTGCCTCAGAGAAGGCCTGGATTTGGAGTTGGGATCTTTAGAGAGGTAATTTGGTTCAATGAGGTCATTAGTGTGGCCCTAGTCCACTCTGACTGGGGTCCTCAGAAGATCAGGACACAGATACACAGAGCGATGACCATGTGGGGACATGGGGGAGACAGCGTCCACACACCAATGGGAGAGGCTACAGGAACTAGCCTGGCCACGTCATCAGCTGGACCTCTGAATCTAGCCTCATGGGCGAGGGCACACCTGGGGACCTAACTTTCCAAGTGCCATGCTGCAGCAGCTGGTGCAGACCAAGCCAGCATTCCACCAGTGAAATACATGACACAGCTGCCCACACATGCTCTCCTGCTGACTTAGGTGTGGGGTTAGCCCAACTTACCACTGACCAGGGCAGGCTGGCTCTATCCCTGCTCCCCATGGGTGTCGCCACCTCCAGCCAGGGTAGCCTGCTTGGGCTTACCAGGACTGCCTGAGCTGAGAACTCAGCAAAATGACCCTGGGGATTTGGAGGCCAAGTTCTAGGAAGCGTGGCTTCATCTGTCTGGATCTACTGGACGCTCACTCTTGGGAAGCAGATTGGGATGGCCAGTCTGCTGTGCTGAGCGGCCCACACGGCTCAGCATTCTGTGAGAAGAGCCTGAGTTGTCACAGCACAATGCTGGAGACACCCAGAGGTGGCCCTGCAGATCAGACAAACCACCCAGTGGGGTCCTTCCCCAAGACCCTCAAGAGTGGGCAATGAAACAGCTGACTCAGAAGCACTGGAGTGGCTTGTGTGCCTGATAGGTGATGTGAACTCACCCTTTCTTCCAGGAGGTCCCAAGTATTGTCACACAGACTCAGAATTCCTGCCTCACCCCCAAGCCTGTCTGCACAGCGCCCACCCGGCCGGATAGAGTTCAGAGGGTGAGGAATTCAGCCATTGGAAAGGCTTACTTACTTTTATTGAAAAACAATTGTACTGGAAAACCTTGGGAATAAAAGTTGCCGCTTATTCTGTTACTAATAAAACCACACACAAACTCCACACCTGCATTCCACCACGCCAGCTCCAAGGTGGCAGTCCACCTTTCTCACCCACTTCGAGAGGGAGCTGAAGCACAGAGCCAAGGTCACACCACGGGCAATGGCAGAGCTGGGATTTGGCCTATGCTCAGACCTCTGTGCACCATCATTTCAAATGGGAGAGCTGGGCATCAGAGTGGATGTGCAGGAGTGGCCATGATGAAAGGGCTCCAGCAGCCCAGGGACAGGGAGGTCCCACCAGTCCCTTCAGTTGCCTTGTCTGTCCACTTTGGACCAGGCTCCTGGTCACTCCCCAGGCAGACAGAGCTGCCATTGTCTCCAGTAGGTGCTGGCCAGGCTGCCCATGACAGGTGACCTGGACCCCGGGGAATAACTACACTATTCATCTGTCTGTACCAGGTCCTCTCCCCATAAGATGCCAGGCTCTGCTTATGACACTATCCATTTTCCCTCCTATGGCCTAGCACCCCCAAACCAAAACTCTGCTGCTTCTGGAGTCTCCTAGCCATCTCCAGGTTCACGTGTGTGCATGGACTAGTGCCAGTCACACCAACCGCCTAGGTCTGGGCATGCTCCTTTCTCTCCCCCTTAAACGCTCATCACTGCCAAGATCCCTCTCCTCAGTGCCTGATTACCACTGGTGCTTGGGCTCCACCAGAAGCATCCCTCCCCACTTCCCTGAGCATCAGAGGCCCAGGGCACAGGCACTTCACAGGGGTGACCTTGGGAAATGACACCTGGTATTCGAAACTCTGTCATTTATTGTCATCACCCACTGTCAAAGCTCCTGAATTTCTGACGCGGGGGCAGCTGGTACTCCAGCAACAGTCTCCACATTCCCTACCCTGGGGAACCGGGTCCACAGCTCCCTGTATTGGACTCGTGGGCCCACACACGTTCTCTGTAGTTTAGAACCAGCCAGTAATTGTGCCAAACTAAGGTTCACTGTATTCATGAGACTCATCTCTGAGACTCACAGCACATGAAGAGCCAGGACACAAAGGGACCTCGTTTCCCAAGAATCCTGCTTCAGCTTTTCAACACTGACAAATGGCAGCTCTCCAAAATGCCAGAGCATAATGCTTCCTTCAGATCCTCTGCAAAGACACCAGGGTACGGTTTTGCTTCTCATCTCCTTTAGCAAAGCATCCACTACCACTTTCTGAAAGCATCGACTTGCTGACATGGGGCATTTCTGCTTTGCCTCAGACCAAGAAGGACAGACTTAACTGCTACCCCAAAGGCATTTGCAGTAAACGGATTAAGTGTCCTTTAGCTAGAAGTTGCCCACATGTCTTTCAGCCGGGTCCTTGGGATGGGACTGCTGTCCCCGGGGCTTGTAAGACACAGGCCAGAGCTCCGCCCCAGGAAGCGCCTTCGGACTCCAGGGGTCTTCCACCCTCTAGTCCGTGCGCAAACACTCCAAGGCGGAGGAAGGCAATTCGCTTCGCATCTGGGGCTCTGGCCTGACTAGGTGTGGGCTGATACAAAGGGCTGCCGGCCCTAAGGTCAAGAGAGGTCAGAACACGGGCTGTTAACATTTATTTCCTCTGATAAGGCACGTTCCCGAGGTCGCGTCGGTCGGTCGCCCGCGCAGAGGCCGAGGGCTCCGCTACATCTGCCGCTGCTTGTGCCTGGGGTGGGTCTTGCAGTAGACGAACCAGCGCCCGCGCCGCTTCACCAGGTAGCAGTCCTTGCAGCGCTTCTTGAGCACAGCCTTGGTCTTGAAGCCCGCCGCGGGCTGCGGGAGCGGCAGGAGCGGCACGGTGCCCGCCCGCACGGCGCCCGCCCGCACCGCGCCCGCGAGGCCGGACAGCAGGGACGCGCACGAGGCGGACGCCGCGGCGCAAGGGCTCAGGAGTCGGAGCGAGCCCGCGACGGTCGCCAGCACGCGCCTCGCCAGTAGCGCGGCCATGCCTCGTCCCGGCCTGTGAGAGAAAACCAGTCAGCGCCCGCGCCGCGCCCCCGCCCCACCCGCTGCCCACCCGGGGAAACAGAGGCGCCCGGAACCCCGGACCCTGACCTGGGAAGGAACCGTCCGTCCGCACCACCACCCGCTCTTCCGCTCCTGCGCCTGCGCAGGCGCCTGCTCAGTGGCGCGGGACGCTACCGCCCGGAAGTAAGATGGAGGCGAGTCTCCTGCCCCTCCCCACCTTCCATCAGGCGCAGAGCTAAAGGCACATGCGCACTAGGCTAGCCGGGCGTTGCGCACCGGGCTCCCGCGAACCATTCCGGTCGGCTACTTGTGTGCCTTGGGCGAAAATGCAGAAGTGGGAGTGAAACTGCATATTCACAATGAAAAAGAAATTACAACCACTTAGACATAGGAAAAACTGACAAACCAGTGTCTAAACATATGTGAAAGATAACGTTCTATAAGTGACATCCTGGCAGAAATATGAAGGGGTTCATAGAGGCGAGTGGATATAGACAGTGCCCCTAATTGATCACGAATAAACTGTTTATCTCCAACATTATGAAAAGCCCCAAACACGTAATAAAATAGTGCAACAAATTTTAGAGTGAACACCTAGATTGTCCAGTTAGCTCTCTGAATATTTGTTTTCAGGTACCTATAAGTGAATTCATCCATCTCACTTTTTACGTATAGCGAAGTGAGTCTTATCAGGCTGGCACTTGTTCTCCGCCAGTTCACAAGGCTAATCCGGCAGCCCACCTTTGTACCTCACCAGGTGAGCACCAGGATCCTGGAGTTTTATTAGCTTTGAGACAATTCTGCCTCTGAGCATGGCATTTGTTGGACCACCTTTTCTTTTTCTGAAGGCTTTTATGCGCATTGTTTCTTATCGACTTTTCTTCCTCTTTATCATTTCCCAATACCTTCCAGCAATATGTAGGCGTTTTTTCTTGGAGTCACCTGGTCCTCAGACTCTGGCGGCAGCTACCAGTGCATCAAACCAGAATCCAGACTGTGGCACGCCCGGATGGATACATGTAATCTTCTGTTAACTCCTTAGGGAATTAGCACCTCAACCCCACTCCTGTTTTTCCTGTAAATTCAGGGCCCCACCTTAATCTTGTCCCCATGATGTTCGAGCTTGCTCGTTCTACGGGCTGGCCCCTGTGTGACTTTAACCCTTGGAAAAGTCTATGAAAAAGGTTTACGTTAGAGGATGAAGCCTGAGGGGCGAAACAGCCCATACCAGGTTTGGAGGCCAGAGTTTTGTACCCTGTCTTAGGCATTTCTCGAGCCTGTGTTTTTGCATGCTAGATAAAATCGACTGTAGTTTTACTGGTAGCTTTTATTAGGTCTCTGTTGCAGAAACCCACGAACTGGGCTGCCTCCTTACCAGGAACGCTGCATGTTTTGCAAGGGGGATGCACTTCCATTTTCTTCCGCTAAGCACTGATGTCTACCAAAAATGCCGATACTTAAACTTCTCATGATCATCGATGTCATGAGAATACAAGCAGTGCATCTTCAGTTTCCACCCTCCTCTGCCTTTTCCCAAGTAAGAGTCGCTGGGCATTACTAACTGCGGAACACCTGCGTCCTCAAAGAGCTCGCCTCAACTGAGCGCAGTCCCAGCCCTCCCAGACGCCGAAGCGCACGCGCACCTCTTGGGGTGAAGTCTCGGGAGCACAGGCCCCCGCCGGAAGCCAGGCGCATGCGCGGCCCTCGGAGCGGCGGCGCGCCGGGTCAAGGGTCACAGGCAAGATGGCGGCGGCAGTGACCTTCCGCCAGCTGCTGTGGCTGCCCCGGCTGGCCCGGAGTTTCGGCGTGCGGGTGTCGCCGACAGGGGAGAAGGTCACGCACACCGGCCAGGTAATGGTTGGTCCGCGGCTCGGCGGGGAACGGCATGGTGGGCTCGCGGGAGGCAGCGGGCAGACAGCGTCGGGGGTCGCACAGACACCGACGGACGCTCGTGCACTCTTGTGCTGCCCCGCGCAGCTGACACGCTGGTGCACGCTCGTGCTGCCCCGCGCAGCTGACACGCTGGTGCACGCTCGTGCTGCCCCGCGCAGCTGACACGCTGGTGCACGCTCGTGCTGCCCCGCGCAGCTGACACGCTGTGCACGCTCGTGCTGCCCCGCGCAGCTGACACGCTCGTGCACGCTTGTGCTGCCCCGCTCACTGACACGCTCGTGCACACTAGTGTTCGTAAGCGCGCGCACCGACGGGACGGTGGGGGTCTCAGCCCTCCTGGGCCGCTCCTGGGCTACCTTCAGGAGCTGTCCGATGGGCAGCTCTGCCCGCTGTCTAGGGCAGACATCCTTTTGGAAGTCTGTAACCGCCAGTTCTTTTGGTCAAATTTCTTAATGCTGCTTAGTATTAAATCGAGGGTGTTGCTAACTCGAGGAGTCTGATGTAGCGTAAAGCCCAGAATGGCGCTCCACTACGATGGTGAACCAACAGATGACCCTGTATACTTGTCTTTAGTATTTAGAGGAGGAAATGAAGCCGTTTGCCATATGTGAAAAGAAGGTTGGGGGTCCTTCCCGAGTCAGGGTTGTCTCTTCTCTGCAGGTCACCTTCCTGCTGGCCAGCTCCCCTAGGCTTTCCACCTGCCTTCAGAATCTTTCTGGCACAGTACACTTCTTGGGCGTTGGGTTCAACCTCAGAGGCCTAAATGCCAGGGAAATGCACTTCCCTGAAACATTGTCATTGATGTTCAGTGACCACTTTCAGAATTGGACTGTGAAATCACAGATGGTCTTTTTCTTTCAGGTTTATGATGATAAAGACTACAGGAAAATTCGGTTTGTAGGTCGCCAGAAAGAGGTGAGTGAAAGATCTAGTTAAGACAGGTAAGCATTCAAAAAGCTTATGTGGGGGGAGCATGCCTAATCCAAAAATCTGGAGCACCCCAAAATCTGAGACATTTTGAGCACCAACATGGTTCTACCAGTGGAGAAATCCCCCTTTGACCTAATTTTTTGACTTTTCAGTTTGTGTATGGGGGGGCAGGCACAGGGATCCAGGGCCATGGACACTACTAGGCAAGCTCTCTACCAGTGAGCTTGGCCTCTAAGAGTAATTTTATAGATCACTTTTGGGTTTTAGAAAAACTGAACGGAGCACAGAGTCCTAAACACCTCTGTCCCTCGCCGTCTCTGCTGTTGCTCACATCTATCTTGTGTTGGCGTGGACCTTTGTTATAGTTGGTGAACCGATTTTGGAACTGATGTCTGACTTGTACCCACAGATTACAGAGGGGTCGCTCCTAATGTATGCACTCTCTGGGTTTGACAGATGTGCACTGACGGGGACCCACCATTGCAGGAGCACACAGGGGTTTTCCTGCCCAGCACATCTCTGCGCCTGCCTGTTCATCCTCTATACCCAGCCTCTGGCAACCCCTGATCTCACTATCTCTAGTTTCATTGGTAGTATTTTAACAAATAAGATGAAGCTGGACTTAATCTGAAGACCAAGAGTAACAGAACACTGGGTGTTGAGCTGGCCTTTGCAGGAGAGAATGGGAAGCACCTCCCCATGGGGCTAGTGCAGTCTTGAGCTGCCATGGCTGCAGAGTGCCTGTATAGGGCCCCACGGTCCCAGTTTGTGGCAGCTCTTATTGAGAGGAGGCTGCAGATATGCCACAGAATGAGGCACGCCCCGCCCCCACAAGAAAGGGAACAGAAGTAAGGCCTGATGTGGTCCTGGAGTTGGTGGTGCCCTGGGCCCCTGGAAAGGTGGATGCCCGGCTGCAGGTTCTTCTGCTGCCGTTACTGGGTTGTCAGACATGCACTGTTGATAGCAGGTATCCCTCTCCTGCACTGGTGGTACTCTGAGGCCTGCAGTGGGAAGTGGTGTGAAGGGGACATCTGGGACTGGAGGTAGTGGGGACTGGCCAGAGTGCATTGGTGTGTTTGCTTACAAGCTCGGGTGCTAGGTTGTCCTGGCCGGCTGCATTCAGAGCCATGCTCCCACCAGTGAGTTTTCTAACACAGTGAGTCTTGGTTACTTATCTCCTGGGGCGTGGGTACCTGGTGCCTGAGACAGGGATGGGCTGGGAGCAGCTGCCCCAGGAAGCACTGGGAAGAGAGCACCTTGCTGTGCGGCTGCTCTCCTTACAGCTGGGGGGCAGGCTCATTTTCAGTGTTTGAAGGTAAGCAATTAGGCAGAAGCTGCAGAACACCAGGAGACTGGGTCCTTCAGCCAGCCTCCCTCCCCGTGGGATGGGCTCCCTCCTAAGTCTGCACCCAGGCAACCCACATTGGACCTCTGTAGCCAGGTGGAGATGGGTTCTGGGCACTGTTGTGACCTCCATAGCCTGGGGCTGGCCGGGATGTCAGCAGAGACCCTGTGGCCTCACCTGCCCAGCCCCTCGCTGCTTTTCAATGGCACTTTAAGGTGCAAGCCATCACTGATTTTAGGGAGCCTGCAGGTGGTGCTCACAGGTTCTCCATGTGAGGTGAACAGATCCTTCTGAGAAGAGTGTGTGCAGCTTAGGCTGGTGGACAGTCAACTGCAAGCCGTGCTGGAGAGGAAGCTGCCAGTGTGTGGTGTGGAAGCACATCAGGGGCCCAGAGAGGAGCCAGCAAGTGCCGTCAAGGCAGCCGCTGCAGGGAACCCGGGACCCGCCATTCCATGCCTAACTGGACCCACGGGAACTGAAGCCGGGGCCGCAGGCATGTGGGATCTGCACAGCTGTGTTCACGTAGCGCTGTTCACCGTGGAGAAGATGTGGAGGCCATGCAGGCCTCCTTCCACAGGACAGGGGATGGGAACATGGTGCATGCACAGTGGGACGCTGTCCAGACCTAAGAGGGAAGGGACGGGGGTTCTGATGTAGTCGCCTAAACCTTGATGACAGGGTGGGAAGTGTTGGGGGCTTCGTGGTGCTGCAGTGGGTTACAGGGACAGGTGAGCAGGGGTCATGATTGTACAACTTTGTGAAATGCTTACAGCCATCTCAGCACTCAGAGGGCTTTAAGATGCTGGTGTTGATGTGTCTTTTGCCATCTTAGGGAAAGAAGATGAAGCCGGGGCCGCAGGCACGTGGCTGTGATCCCAGCTGCTCGGGAGGCTGAGGTGTGAGGCCAGCTGGCAACACAGTGTGACATGATAAAGAGAGAAAGAAATTGGGGAGAAGGTGACCTCAGGCCCCTGTGGAGACTGACTGGGTCCCTTTCAGGGGCTCAGCAGCAGTGCTCACTCCACCCTGTTTGTCACAGACCACTCAGGCAGGAAAGGGATTTCATGCTGATGCTGTACCAGGGTGGGAAATTGTCACTTGTCACCAGGGTGGGGCAGCTCCTGGGCCAGGGCATAGAAGACATGAATAGTGAGTCCTCTTGAGGAATACGAATCACAGGCCTGCCATCTTGGCCAGGGCTGTTTGCCCCCCAGGACCCAGAGAAAATGTTCAAACCGTTAGTCACCCAGGTTCAGATGTGGTGGCTTCTCTGCGAGGCAGCCGCAAGATCAGCCCTGACTCTGTTGTGAGTAATAGAAAATCCCGGTGGTCCATTTCCAGGACACAGTGTTTAGCTTTAAAGGTAAAATGACCAGGATGGAAGAAAGGCGGCTGAAGGGGCGGACCCACAGGAAAGTTACAGCCCCAACAGAGGAGGTGGGAGGAAGGGCCTCCTGATCAACACAGACGGACTGTACAGGCCAAAGGCCCTCAGCCCAGGGGACCTGCCTGCCACAAGAGAACAGGGGGCGGGGGCACCTAACAGTGTATTTCTTTAACTCACCCAGTAGAAGGCAATAAAACCTGGGTGACAAGGGGAGATTGTGTACCACAGTGCTCAGCCCAAGAGGAACCAAGAGAGAAAACACCACTTGTACCCAATCTGGGGCTTGGGGTTTGAATTGTGTCTGCATGCCCAGATCAGAGGAAGGGTTGTCATTTCCAGGGTGGCAGTGACCAGCTGTGAGTCTGTCCACAGATGGTCTCACAGGACCCGGCGGTGCCCTGCCGCTCCCGTCCGCTCCCCTTGGAAGAGCAGGGGGGGCCCCGAGGCAGCGTGGTGCAGGCTGGCGTGTTGACTGCGTTTGCATCGTACTCCTGCATGGAGCTGAGTTCTGGGGAGCAGCTGCTAATAATGGGAGGTCAGGGTCGCCCTGGGCTGCGCAGTAAGTGACAGGAGGGCAGTCTCGTGTGTCAGCAGCAGCCCGGCGTCAGCTGCCCTTCCCGCAGGAGACCTGGGTCTCTGCGTGCTGGGGGCCTGGGGGTTTGTTAGTGTGGCCTCTGACATGTTGTCACTTAGTGTCCCATGTTACTGCACCGCAAGGCTTCACTCCCTTGGTTCTGGCATTGCTCCCTTGGTTCTTACAGGCCTGCCGCAAGGTGCTGGTGTCGTGGCCGAGGGGCCTGTAGCGCCACAGTGGAGGCCGGCCGCTGCTGGGCACTGCTGTGGGCTTCGGGCACCGTCATTTCTGGTGACTTCTCTGTTTCCAGAGAGCTCCGAGAGGCTGCACTCGGTGGTAGCCTGTAACTGACAGGTCTTCCTAGAAACACCAACCCTTCTGGAAGGCCATGTTTCCATGAACTTTGGTGAGAGGCACTGGGCGTTGCCTCTCTGCGGCCAGCCTCTGCCAGCAGTGGTACAAGACTCCTCAGCCCTGGCCAGGTAGTTCTGGACACAGCTGCCTACCTGTGTCGTGAGCTTCTGGGCTTGTTTTCAGCCCCGCCCCTGTACTGGCGAGGGTCTGTCTGCCTGGTGTAGTCCAGAATGTGCAGGTGGGAGTTGGGGCTGCAGGGGTGGAGGCCAGCATGCCCCTGGACTGCCAGGACCCTGTTGGACTGCAGCTCTCACCCGATTGGAAACAGCAAGGTTGTTTACCCAGCCAGCCTTGCAGAGTGACCTGGGGCAGTCTGTTGACCTTATGTCGGGCTCCATGCTCCTGTGGGCCTAATGGCTTATGGGAAGGGTGGGACGCTGCCTTGTGCAGTGTGTCCCCTGTGGTATGCAGCAGCTGTGGAACCTCTGGCCTCCTAAGCTGGCTTTTGTGGAAGTGCTCTGGAAAAGGGAAAATCTCCTGCTTGCAGCAGGCCTGGTGACTCATGAAGGAACAAGGGTGGATTCAGGGGGGCTTGGGGTGGGCGGGGCACTGTGTGGTGGGCTTCTTACCGCTAAGGCTCTGCTTCTTGCAGTGAGAATGCCTGTCTTCTGGCTGTTCCAGCTGGTGACTGAGGCAGTTAAGTCAGGGATGGACACTCCTGGAGGTCAGCCCCACCTGGGTTTCTGGATTTGCCACCGGGGGCATCAGGAGGTGCTGCTCACCAAGCCAGGGTGTTGGATTCCTTTGTAAAAAGCCACTGTGAAGCGGAGCAGTAGAGCAGTTCTTTCTTCCCAGGCTCTCGGGTTTCTGCCAGATGGTGCATACTAGTCTGCAGGTATTCTGACCATGGAAATAGACAGGGAAGCGTCCCCCAGTGAGCAAACTCTTGGGGGCAACTGGCACCCTGATTCCCACGATTGGAATGCCCAGCAGTTTCCCCCTGAGGCTATTAAGATAACTATGCGGGTGCACTACCTGGTTTCCATAGTAACGTCCTTGGGTGTGAGAGGCTCTGTTTGTATTAACCTGGACCTGATCTCAGTTGGCCCTCAGGGTGTAGTCACGGTGAAGAGTAATATGTGGCCTTTTTTGAGTGAATAAGCTGGGCAGGAGGGAGGAGCGGACACTTCCTCTTCTTCACCTCTTTACTCCTCTCCGCTCCGGTCGGTCTGCCCACTTGTACCCCGTGTCTGTCTGCCCTTTCGTGCGTCTCCTCACAGGGGTTCGTTACACTAGTCTGGTAGGCGATGCGGTGGACGAGGAGACCAGGACTCGCCAGCAGACACAGGAGGCCCTGAGGAAGGTCTCTGCCGTGGTTCCGAGCCACTGCTGAGGGCTGGTCCCCGAGGCACGGAGTAGATTTGGACAGGCGAGGGCCTTTTTCTTGTGCACACGTTTTGGCTTTGTCCGGGGTGTCTGGCTAAGTTAACGGGTCAGCTTGACGCATGCCCAGTCCCCTCGCAGTAGGCTTTTTCCTGCAGTTGGACAAGTCACTACTAGAATGCGCCTGGAGAAGGGGCATGCCGGAGTCCTGGTGACACGCTGGAAGTCAGGACCTGGGTGTGTGGTGGGACAGTCACAGCCTGATTTGATAAAGGTCTGATGTTCCATGATGAAGAACTTTAAAGTACACAGGAAAAGGCACCGGAGTCCTGTGGAAATGGGCGGCAGACCTGGACTTGCCGGAGCTCTCAGCTGCCCCGATGGAGAGCAGCACCACCCAGAGCTGCTCTGAGGTGCCCTAGAGGCGGGGCTGAGCCCGGCCGGCGTCTGACAGTTCTGTGTGCTGTTCATCCTCAGGCCGTAGGGGCCCACTGCCCGGTGCTCCCCGAGGACACACTTCCTGTGGTGCACACCTGTGTGCGGGGCTGCTCATGCAGTGCCGTTAAGGGAGAAGCATGGAGAGCGCGAAGTCAGCGGCCGCACACAGGGCACGTTGGGCACTGTTATGGAAGGGGGCTCTGGGGAAGGGGACTGCTTGCCAGGAAGTGCTGGTTGGTGGCTGCATGCAGCATTTTGTGATGGAGAAGGAGGCGGCGGCAGGAGCCCCATGTGTGCAGGTCAGGACCTGCTGTGGACGCTCCCCCACCTGGTGAGGCGGAGCAGGCTCCCTGCCAGGCTGGGGAGGACCGGAGGGCCTGGTGCCGCCTGTCCCTTCAGGTTTGTTTGGATGTGTGAAAACGTGTTTGAATCAGCCGGGAGGTGGAGACTCACTGCGGCAGGGCCAGCTCTGCGTTTCGTGAAGCCGTAACTATGCTGGTGGGGATCTGCCTCGGGTGGGGGTGCAGCCCCTGGACTCTGGTGTTGGGCCCGCAGTTCCTTCAGCTGGGGACTGCAGGTTGGCATGTGCTGTCATTGAGCTCCAGTGCTCTCACCGTGCAAAAAGGCGCTTGGGTGGACACTAGCAGAGACAGTCCTGTAGATCGGAGTTGGCGCTCTCTCGGGGACTCACTGTTCTGAACCGCATGTCTGTGTGGGTGTCTTTGTGCTTGCGAGAGCTTGTGGGTGTGCATGTACGTGTTGACATTCGTGGGGTCATGCTTGCCACACACCAGCTTCCCTGTCAGGTCTCTCGAGAAAGCCCGGAGGCCTGTGGCCAGCTGTGCTCTTCTGGGTCTGGAGACGGTGGGCACAGGCACTGGAGGGGACAGGAGAGTGAGTGTGGGCACCTGGGGCAGGCTTGGCAGTTGCCGAGCCAAGGGCAGAGTGAGAATTCTTCCTCCTGTTCCAATCCTTGCATTCCATGTGAAGGGTCAATGTGGACGTGTGGCTGTGTTTCACGGAATTGTTCGTCTGTGTGGAAAGACTACGATGGTCATCTTTAGTGAAATGTGCCGGGTCATGGGTTGGGTGGGTGCTGTTGACAAGCTTCCGTGGTATAGATGATCGAGGCTGTGTGCACCTGGCTAAGTTTCCTCTTGTTCCAGGTGAATGAAAACTTCGCCATTGATTTGATAGCAGAGCAGCCTGTGAGCGAGGTGGACCACCGGGTGATCTCCTGTGACGGCGGCGGGGGCGCCCTGGGCCACCCCAAGGTGTACATAAACCTGGTAGGTAGCCCTGCTGCTCGCTGGTGCTCTTTGTGTGGCCTGCTGGTCCCCAGTGGTCACCTGCACACACTCGCCTGCCAGCCTGCGCGGCAGGGCCTGCGTGGAGTGGCCTTCTGGAAGCAGCTTCGTGCCTGAGTGCTGGCTTGGTGTCATCCTGGGGCCTCCACCCTCCCCCCTCTAGCACCAGGCCTGTCTCTGAGCCATCCCCCTGGCTGCTGTCCTAGGCTGCCAGGCAGGGTGCCTCAGCCTAAGGCTCAGGCCACAGATGTCCATGCCTTTCTCAAGGCTGGAGGCCCAGGTTGGCGGGCAGGCCCTCTCCTGACGGCCCTCCCTGACTGGCAGACGCTGTGTCCTCCCTGTGTCCACATGTGGTGGTCCCTCTGCATGTGTCTGCTCATGCGGACCACCTTAGTGACCCATTTTAACCTCCTCCCTGAGGGACCTGTCTGCATCCAGCCACACTGAAGGTCGGGATGGCAGCATGAGACCCTCAAAGGGAGGCTTTTCCTATCGGCTAGCACCACACGGGCTCGTGAGGACGAGGAACGGGCCAGCAGAGGAGCTGTGAGGCCCTGGGGCACATCCCCAGTGGTGCAGGTCATGTGCTGGAGGAGAGGAGACTGCAGACCCTGTGACGGGGCAGGTGGGGCTCTTGTTTCACCAGCTGGTGTCCTGGTTGGTGGCCTGTCGCCTTTGGAAGTGGCCTTTACTGGAAGCTGGCATTCATCTTGGGTGCTTGTCAGGGTAAAGGGCAGTGTAGCAGCGCAAGGTGTCAGCAGCCTAGAACAGGATGCTGTCACTTTGTGTCCAGGTGACATCCCTGGAGCCCGGCCCGTGGGCTGAGGTTGGGGCATCCTGGTCCTCGGGCTCAGAGAGCAGGTGGGTCGCAGCCAGCTATACTGTTGGGGGCACGGGAGTTCCTCTGGCCATCCTTTGGGATGGCTGCAGAGGCAGGGCCTGAGGTGGGGCTCCATCCTCTGCCTCCCGCTGCCCCACAGGTCAGGTCAGGGTGAACCAGGATCCAGGGCCTGCTCGTCCCAGCTCAGCCCCGACCTGGGCCTCAGTGACCTTCTGGTTGACATGCATCTCCTGTCCTGTGCTGCTCCTCAGGCTGTGGTTGGAAGTGGAGTGTGCACTATGAGATTTTCCTTTTGAATTTTTTTCAGGACAAAGAAACGAAAACCGGGACATGTGGCTACTGTGGCCTACGGTTCCAACAGCATCGTCATTAGCATCGGCACCCTGTCGCCCAGCACCGCGGGGTGCCTCAACCTCAGGAGCACAGTGTAGGCGCCGCTCCCTGTGCAGGGGCCCTGCTGAATAAAGACACCTCCCGCGAGCTCTCCGGTCTCTTCTTTCCTAGGACGAACTTCCAAGGTGGTGGGGAGGAGCCCACAGACAACAGGCACACCAGGGTCCCCAAGACTGTAGAGGAAAGAGGCGAGGCGGGTTCTGGGTGAAAGAAATCAAGCTCCAGCCTCTAGGGTCTAGAGAGAAGAGAGCAGGCAGCCCTCGCTGGTGAGCTTCCAGAGGGCAGCGGGGCGCTGGGAGAGCCGGGCCAGCCCTTGGTGGTCAGGGACCTTGATCACCCGAGCTCCTTCTGTCCTGAGACGTGCCTGTGTGAGTGCAGGGAGTTAGCCACCGTGCCTGACCTTGGGAACACCGGGCAGGAGGGCTGGCCTGGGGCTGTGCTCCGTCCTTCTTGGGGTGGGGGGCACTCGAGGGTGGGGATTGCTGCAACGGGTGGGCACCAGCCAGGTTAGTGAGTGAGGCCTCCGTGTGCAGAGGCCATGTGCACAAGGGACAGCGGGTCATTGAGGGTCGGTGCCAGCGTTGGCAAGTCTCAGGTGGGCGGGGAGGGTAAGGAGAAGTCCTGGGTCTCAGGAGCTGTCCTCTGGGGTGGGGTGAGACTGACGAGTCAGGGAAACACCTGCCTCCTGGGGTTCAGGTCACAGTGGGAAGGTGACATCTGTGCTCTGCAGGGTCCAGCGAGGAGGAAGCCCACGCCAGGGAGTGGGACACGGGACTGGGAGGGGAGGAGCGCGGGAGGAGCACTGGAACCTGTCAGCCCTGTGGCCCTGCTGGCTCTGAGTTGCTTAACCCAGCGGCCGTGTTTACCGGGGGTCTCTTGGTCATGCCGGCATTCTGCTCTTCAGCTCGCCTTAGGTCAGTGTGTTGGGTGCCGCTGGTGTCCCTTCCCTGGACAGGCGTGGCCCTGGAGAGCTGCAGGGCTCTGTGCTGGGTTTTAGTCTCTGAAACCCAGACTCTGAACAGCATTGCTCCAGGAGAGGCCCCAGGGACTGTCCGACCAGTGTCCTTGCTGAAGGTCGCGTGGCGTGTGGGTCACACTCTGGGGCATCTGCGCAGGGTGAGCGTGCTGCTGGTTCCCTGAGGAGATGGTCATTGGGTCTTGGTAGTTGGGTGGTGCTGCATGGAGGCGGGGCCAGCCAGAGTGTCCCTGGGTGTGGAGGCTGGACTCCAGGGCGTCTTGGCGGCCTTAGATCCTTTCCGCTCACGGCTGTTGGACGTTGATTCTTGAGCCACTTCCATAGGTTGGATTTCTTTCTAGAAAATGAGCCTGTTGCTGGCCTGTCTGCTCTGTGTGGCCAGCCGCTTCTCCCTCTCCCGGTGGCCCTGCTGCCTGTTGGCCTCTGGCCACTCCCACCAGAGGTCTGTCAATGGCATTTGTGTTTACAGTGGCCCTTGGCTTGTCGGTCCTTGCTGGTGTCTGTCTGGAGTCTTGCGTCTGTTTCTGCTCATTTTCCGTTTCCTCTTCCTTGCTGTTTATTGTGCTGTTCTTTCTCACCCCGAGGTGGATGATCTGGTTTGTTCCTTTGCACGTGGACTGAAGGCTACACCTTTCCCTCCGTCCCAGTGTTAGCTGCATCCCTCTGGACGGTGTGTTTGTGCTTCCGTCAGTCCTGCGCATCACAGAAGGGGGTCTACAGGAGGGGACGTGTCTTTGCGGTTCTGCTTACCTCCATGTGGGTTTGTGCTGTAGTCTGAGTGTGCTCCTCTACCTCGTCTGGGAAGCTGGTTGACTTGCTCTGTGATCCTCCCGTGGCTCATTGCTCAGGTCTTGCCTTGGGTGGTGTTTTCCTGCACTGTGTGGCCCCGGGGGCACCCTCCTGGTTCTTGCTGTTTTCTCTTTAAAAAAGAACTAGCATTTGCAACTCTGCTGTGTCCTGAAAGTCAGAGTGGTTGTGTCTTTCCACGGAACTGACCTTTCAGATGTGAGGTTTTCCATAATAAAACTCCGTGCCTTCCAGTGTGCTGTGCCGCCTTCCATCTGCACATCGACTCCATTTGGTGAGCCTTCGCATGCTCTGGGTTCCGGTTCTTCTACCATCGGCATTAACGGAGCCTGGTGTTTTAATTGTGTGTCCCAGGAGCAGAGATAGGTGGCGCTTCGCCAGTCAGTTTCGCTCTTTGTCTCTTAGTTCATATCTACATTCCTGACCTTGTCCTGGGTTGGTTTCTCCTTTGCTTAGAAGAATCATTTTATTTTCTCTTTTCCCTACTGAATTTTTCTTTAAGACAAAAAGTCACATGCAAACGGGGGAAAAATTGGGAATTCGTGTAGCAGGTCAATGTGGAGATGAGGCTGCCATCTTTGAGGGGAACGAGACAGGCACTGCCCTGTGGAGGAAGCAAAGCAGAGGCCAGTGAGCGGGTTCACCCTGAGCTGCTGTCAGGCCTGTAGGCAGAGAGCTGTGGTGTCTGGGCTGTAGGCAGAGAGCTGTGGTGTCGGGGCTGTAGGCAGAGAGCTGTGGTGTGGGGGCTGTAGGCAGAGAGCTGTGGTGTCTGGGCTGTAGGGAGAGAGCTGTGGTGTCAGGGCTGTAGGCAGAGAGCTGTGGTGTGGGGGCTGTAGGCAGAGAGCTCTGGTGTCTGGGCTGTAGGCAGAGAGCTGTGGTGTGGTGTCGGGGCTGTAGGCAGAGAGCTGTGGTGTCAGGGCTGTAGGCAGAGAGCTGTGGTGTGGTGTCTGGGCTGTAGGCAGAGAGCTGTGGTGT